AAACCTAAACACCACTTTCTTTCCGACCCCGCAGGGGAGGAAGACCCAATCCTCTCCAACACCTATTCTGATTCTTTGACACCCCGAAAGTTATATATTCTAATCTCCAGGTTTCCGCATAATCCCCATATCGTCACCTACTATTCAGGCAAAAAAGAAACCATTTGGATACATAGGAATAGTATGAGCCATAATATCTATCGGATTCTTAGGGGATTTATCGTATGAGCACACCACATGTTTACAGTTGGAATAGACGTTTGACACCCGAGCCTACTTTACATCCGCCACTATAATCATCGCCATCCCCACAGGAGTAAAAGTCTTCAGCTGACTGGCCACACTTCACGGAGGCAACATCAAATGATCCCCAGCCCTACTTTGAGCCTAGGTTTTATTTTCCTTCACAGTGGCGGCCTAACAGGCATTGTCCTTCCAACTCATCCCTAGACATCGCTACTTACACGACACATACTACGTAGTAGCCCTTTCCACTACGTCTTATCAATAGGAGCAGTGTCGCAATCATAGGAGGATTTGTGCACTGATTCCACTATTTTCCAGTTATACACTAGACCAAACATGAGCAAAAATCCACTTTACTATTATATTTGTAGGGTAACCTGACCTTTTTCCCCAGCACTTCCTCGCCTGTCCGGCATACCACGAGCTATTCTGACTACCCTGATGCTACACAGCATGAAACACAGTATTCATCAATAGGCTCCTTCATCTCCCCTAACTGCAGTAATTATTTAGTCTTATGATCTGAGAAGCATTTGCTTCTAAGCGAGAAGTAGGAGTAATCGAACTTACAAAACAACAACCTAGAGTGATTACACGGATGCCCACCACCATACCATACATTCGAAGAACCTACATATGTAAAAACGCACTAAGAAAGGAAGGAGTCGAACCCCCTAGAACTAGTTTCAAGCCAGCCCCATATCCCATATGTCTCTCTCTATGCACAAGATATTAGTAAAATAATTACATAACTTTGTCAAAGTTAAATTACAGGTTAATCCCCGTATATCTTCATGGCATACCCATTACAGCTAGGCCTACAAGATGCTACATCACCCATCATAGAAGAACTACTAAACTTTCACGACACACACTAATAATTGTATACCTCATCAGCTCTCTAGTGCTATATATTATTTCACTAATACTTACTACTAAATTAACACATACCAGCACGATAGACGCCCAAGAAGTAGAGACTATCTGAACAATCCTTCCAGCAATTATTCTCATTATAATCGCCCTCCCGTCTCTACGAATCCTATATATAATAGACGAAATCAACAGCCCAACGCTAACAGTAAAAACCATAGGACACCAGTGATACTGAAGTTATGAATATACCGACTACGAAGACCTGGCTTTGACTCTTATATAATCCCAACATCAGAACTAAAACCCGGAGAACTCCGGCTTCTTGAAGTTGACAACCGGGTAGTACTACCAATAGAAATGCCAATCCGAATGCTGATCTCATCTGAAGACGTACTACACTCATGAGCTATCCCATCACTAGGCCTAAAAACGGACGCTATCCCAGGACGCCTCAACCAAGCAACCCTTACCTCCACGCGGCCAGGACTCTATTACGGCCAGTGCTCCGAAATTTGCGGCTCAAACCACAGCTTCATGCCAATCGTGTTAGAAATAGTCCCACTTAAATACTTCGAAAACTGGTCCCTATCTATACTATAAGTACATTATGAAGCTACAGCAGCGTTAACCTTTTAAGTTAGAGATAGAGAGTAATCTCTCCATAATGACATGCCACAACTCGATACATCCACATGATTCACAACGATCACCTCTATAATCCTCACCCTATTCATCATCTTCCAACTAAAAGTAAAAACATTCACCTTCACACCTAATCCCACACCCAAAAATGTCGAATCTATAAAACAAAAAAACCCTTGAGAAAAAAAATGAACGAAAATTTATTTGCCTCTTTTATTACCCCTACTATAATAGGACTCCCTATTGTTACCCTAATCATCCTTTTCCCAAGTATTACACTCCCAACCCCAAACCGATTAATTAACAACCGGTTAGTCTCTATTCAACAATGAGCAGTTAAACTAATCACCAAGCAAATAATAACAATACATAACTCCAAAGGACGTACTTGATCTTTGATGCTAATATCACTCATTATCTTCATTGGATCAACCAACCTACTCGGACTTTTCCCATACTCCTTCACCCCAACAACCCAGCTGTCAATAAATCTCGGAATAGCCATCCCACTTTGAGCAGGAGCCGTAGTTCTAGGCTTCCGCCATAAAATAAAATCATCCCTAGCTCACTTTTTACCACAAGGAACCCCTATCCCCCTAATCCCAATACTAGTTATTATTGAAACTATCAGCCTGTTCATTCAACCAATAGCACTAGCCATTCGACTAACAGCCAATATCACAGCAGGCCACCTACTAATACACCTAATCAGCGGAGCCACACTAGCACTACTAACCATCAACCCAACCACAGCCTTCGTAACATTTATCATTCTAATCCTCCTCACAATCCTCGAATTCGCAGTAGCCCTAATTCAAGCTTACGTATTCACACTCCTAGTTAGCCTGTATCTCCATGACAACACATAATGACCCACCAAGTCCACGCTTACCACATAGTCAACCCAAGCCCATGACCGCTAACAGGAGCACTATCTGCCCTCCTTATAACATCAGGCCTAGCAATGTGATTTCACTTTAACTCCATCTCCCTCTTAACACTAGGACTACTTACCAACTCACTAACCATATACCAATGATGACGAGACGTAGTACGAGAAGGTACATTCCAGGGCCACCACACCCCAATTGTTCAAAAAGGACTGCGATACGGAATAGTACTATTCATCGTCTCCGAAGTTTTCTTCTTCGCCGGATTTTTCTGAGCCTTTTACCACTCAAGCCTAGCCCCAACCCCAGAACTAGGCGGCTGCTGACCACCCACCGGTATCAACCCACTAGACCCCCTAGACGTCCCTCTCCTCAACACATCAGTTCTTCTCGCATCAGGAGTATCCATTACCTGAGCCCATCATAGCCTAATAGAAGGAAGCCGAAAAAATATAATCCAAGCACTGTCAATCACCATCCTATTGGGCATCTACTTCACCCTTCTACAAGCCTCAGAATATTTTGAAACCTCATTCACAATCTCCGATGGCATCTACGGCTCAACTTTCTTTATAGCAACAGGATTCCACGGCCTACATGTAATTATCGGCTCCACATTTCTACTAGTATGCCTAACCCGACAACTAAAATTCCACTTCACATCAAAACATCACTTTGGTTTCGAAGCTGCAGCCTGATACTGACATTTTGTTGATGTAGTATGACTATTCCTATACGTCTCCATCTATTGATGAGGCTCATACTCTCTTAGTATTAATTAGTACAGCTGACTTCCAATCAACTAGATTTGGTATAAACCCAAAAGAGAGTAATAAACCTAATCATTGCACTAACTTTAAACTCCTTCCTAGCAACTCTCCTAGTCACCATCGCATTCTGAATTCCACAAATCAACATCTATAACGAAAAATCAAACCCTTACGAATGCGGATTTGACCCCATAGGTTCAGCACGACTCCCATTCTCAATAAAATTCTTCCTAGTTGCAATCACCTTCCTCCTATTTGACCTTGAAATCGCCCTGCTCCTCCCCCTCCCTTGAGCACTACAAACAAACAACCTCTACCCAGTTATCCTCATAGCTCTTGCTCTCATCGTCATCCTATCACTGGGGCTGGCATACGAATGGTCCCAAAAGGGATTAGAATGAAATGAATATGGTGCTTAGTTTAACACAAAGCAAATGACTTCGACTCATTAGATTATGAACAACTCATAAGCACCAAATGTCCCCCATCCTAATCAACCTATTCCTGGCCTTCCTAGCATCCCTGTTGGGAGCACTAATTTATCGATCACACCTAATATCCTCACTCCTGTGCCTAGAAGGTATAATACTATCAATCTTTATCACCACAACCCTAATCGCCCTAAACTACAACATCACCCTATCATTTATATTCCCCATCATCATCCTAGTTTTTGCAGCCTGCGAAGCCGCAGTGGGACTAGCCCTGCTAGTCACAATATCAAACGCATACGGAACGGACTATGTACAAAACCTAAACCTTTTACAATGCTAAAAATTATCATACCAACAATCATACTAATCCCCCATAACATGATTCTCAAAAAACAATATAATCTGAATCAACTCAACCGCCCACAGCCTACTAATCAGTATACTATGCCTATTCACCCTAAACCAATCAAACGAAAACAGCCTTAATTTCTCATTATTATTCTCCTCAGACGCCCTCTCAGCCCCCCTCCTAATCTTAACAGCCTGATTACTACCACTAATAATCATAGCCAGCCAGCAACACATGAACAAAGAGCCAGTAGGACGAAAAAAAATATACATCACTATACTAGTACTACTACAAACCCTACTAATCATAACATTCACCGCTACAGAACTAATCCTGTTCTACATCCTATTTGAGGCCACACTAATCCCCACACTAATCATCATTACACGATGGGGGGAACCAAACAGAACGACTTAACGCAGGCCTATACTTCTTATTTTATACACTAATTGGATCCCTGCCCCTTTTAGTTGCATTAATCTACCTACAAAAATCGCTAGGATCCCTAAACCTCCATATCCTGAACAACTACTCAGAACAATTAAACCTGTCATGATCCAACGACCTGCTGTGGTTAGCATGCATAATAGCATTTATAGTCAAAATACCATTATATGGTCTACACCTATGACTGCCTAAAGCCCATGTTGAAGCACCCATTGCCGGCTCCATGGTACTAGCAGCAGTCCTACTAAAACTAGGAGGATACGGCATAATACGAATTACCATCCTTCTATCACCCATCACAAACCACATGATATACCCATTTATACTACTATCCCTATGAGGAATAGTAATAACCAGCTCAATCTGCCTACGACAAACAGACCTAAAATCCTTAATTGCATACTCATCAGTCAGCCACATAGCACTAGTGATCGTCGCTATCTTAATTCAATCTCCATGGAGTTTCATAGGAGCTACAGCACTAATAGTAGCCCACGGTCTAACCTCATCAGTCTTATTCTGCCTAGCAAACACGAACTACGAACGAGTACACAGCCGAACCATACTCCTAACCCGAGGCCTTCAAACAATACTCCCACTAATAGCCCTATGATGACTCACAGCAAGCCTAACCAACCTCGCACTGCCCCCAACAATCAACCTAATTGGAGAACTAATAATTATTACCTCCTCATTTTCATGATCCAACTTCACCATCCTCCTCATAGGAATCAATACCCTGATCACAGCCCTATACACCTTGTATATATTAACCACCACCCAACGAGGCAAGCCTACTTATCACATAAACAACATCCACCCGTCATTCACACGAGAAAACTCCCTAGTTTTCCTCCACCTGCTCCCCTACTCCTACTCTCTCTAAATCCAAAGATTATCCTCGGCACAATATTCTGTAAATATAGTTTAACAAAAACACTAGATTGTGAATCTAGAGTCAGAAAATAAAACTTTCTTATTTACCAAGAAAGTATGCAAGAACTGCTAACTCATGCCACCATACCTAAAAATATGGCTTTCTTACTTTTAAAGGATGGCAGTTATCCATTGGTCTTAGGAACCAAAAAATTGGTGCAACTCCAAATAAAAGTAATAAACATACTAGCTTTGTCCATAATCATAACATTTATTATCCTCATATACCCCATCCTAATATCACTAACAGACTTTTACAAAAACAAAAGCTACTCTGAACACACCAAAACCTCAGTAAAACTAGCATTCATTACCAGCACAATCCCCATAATCATGTTCATTCACTTAGGCAACGAAACCATTGTATCCAACTGACACTGACTTACTATCCATACCACAAAACTCTCACTCAGCCTCAAACTAGACTATTTCTCACTACTCTTCGTACCAGTGGCCCTATTTGTAACATGATCTATCATAGAATTCTCCCTATGATACATGCACTCCGACCCCAACATTAACCAATTCCTCAAATACCTACTATTTTTTCTTATCACCATATTAATTCTAGTCACAGCAAATAACCTATTTCAGCTATTCATCGGATGAGAAGGAGTCGGAATCATATCATTCCTCCTCATTGGATGATGATACGGACGCACTGACGCCAACACCTCAGCACTACAAGCAATCTTGTACAATCGAATCGGAGACATCGGATTCATCCTATCAATAGCATGATTCCTAGTCTACTCCAACTCATGAGACCTCCAACAACTATTCATAGACCCTAAAATAACAACAATCCCCCTACTAGGCCTACTACTAGCCGCCACCGGAAAATCAGCCCAATTCGGACTCCACCCATGACTCCCTTCAGCCATAGAAGGCCCCACACCAGTATCAGCTCTACTCCACTCAAGCACAATAGTTGTGGCAGGAATCTTTCTCCTAATCCGATTTCACCCCCTCCTAGAGACCAATAAACTAATTATATCAACCATACTATGCCTAGGAGCTATCACAACCCTCTTCACAGCAATCTGCGCCTTGACACAAAACGACATCAAAAAAATCATCGCATTCTCAACCTCCAGCCAATTAGGCCTTATAATAGTCACCCTAGGAATCAACCAACCCTACCTGTCATTCCTCCACATTTGCAATCATGCATTCTTCAAGGCAATATTATTTATATGCTCAGGGTCCATTATCCACAGCCTCAACGACGAACAAGACATCCGTAAAATAGGAGGACTAGCCAAAGCAATACCATTTACAACTTCCTCCCTGGTAGTAGGAAGTCTCGCACTCACAGGCATGCCTTTCCTAACAGGGTTCTACTCAAAAGACCTTATCATTGAATCCGCCAACACGTCGTATACCAACGCCTGAGCCCTACTAATCACACTCATTGCAACCTCCCTTACAGCTGTATACAGCACACGAATTATCTTCTTCGCCCTACTAGGGCAACCCCGATTTCACCCACTCATCAACATCAATGAAAACAACCCACAACTAACAAACTCTATCAAGCGATTACTAGTAGGAAGCATTTTCGCTGGCTTCATTATCTCAAACAACATCATTCCCATAAACAACCCCACATTAACCATACCCCTATACCTAAAATTAATAGCCCTGGCAATCACCATATTAGGCTTCACCATCGCAATAGAACTAAATAACATAACCTACAACCTAAAACTAAACCTAACCTCCAATACCAACTCATTCTCCACAATACTAGGATTCTTTCCAGCCATCATACACCGAACTTCACCCAAACACACACTAATACTCAGCCAAAAAACAGCGTCAACCCTCCTAGATACAACATGAACAGAAAAAATCACACCCAAACTGCTAGCTCACGTACAAATTAAAGCCTCCATTACCGTATCCAACCAAAAAGGAATAATCAAACTATACTTCCTGTCCTTCCTACTATCAGCAGCTTTAGCACTAACAATCATCATTTAACGACCACGAGTAATCTCAAGAACAATAAAAATACTCACAAACAAAGACCAACCCGCCAACACCATTAATCAACACCCATAACTATAAACAGCTGCAACACCCATAACATCTTTATTAATACACTCAACCCCCTCACCACTATAAACAACCCAGTCGCTCGTATTATAAACACCCCCCAATACATCTACCTCATCATTCTTCACCAACAAGGCTAAAAAAATTAACTCAACAAACAAGCCAAAAACCAAAGCACTTCAAATAGCCACATTAGAACCCCACGTCTCAGGATAATCTTCAATAGCCATAGCCGTAGTATAACCAAACACCACTATCATCCCACCCAAATAAACTAAAAATACCATCAGCCCTAAAAAAGAACCACCAAAACTCAAAATTAACCCACAACCAACCCCACCGCTAACAATCAACCCAAGCCCGCCGTAAATAGGAGAGGGCTTAGAAGAAAAACCCACGAACCCCAACACAAACATAATACTTAATAAGTACATAGAATAAGTCATAGTTTCCACATGGACTTAAACCAAGACTAATGACATGAAAAATCATCGTTGTAATTCAACTACGAAAACCCCTAATGACAAACATCCGAAAAACACACCCATTAATAAAAATTATTAACCACTCATTCATTGACCTCCCAACACCATCCAACATCTCAGCATGATGAAACTTTGGATCCCTGCTAGGAATCTGCCTAATCCTACAAATTGCAACAGGGCTATTCCTAGCAATACACTACACATCAGACACCGCGACAGCATTCTCTTCAGTCGCACATATTTGCCGAGACGTCAACTACGGCTGAATTATCCGATATCTTCATGCCAACGGAGCCTCCATATTCTTTATCTGCCTATTCATACACGTAGGACGAGGGGTCTACTATGGATCATATACCTTCACAGAGACATGGAACATTGGCATCATTCTACTATTCACAGTCATAGCAACCGCCTTTATAGGATACGTCCTCCCGTGAGGGCAAATATCCTTTTGAGGGGCCACAGTAATCACAAATCTACTCTCAGCAATTCCATACATCGGCCCCAACCTAGTAGAATGAATTTGAGGCGGCTTCTCTGTAGACAAAGCCACCCTAACCCGATTCTTTGCACTCCACTTCATCTTACCCTTTATTATTGCAGCACTGGCAACAGTCCACCTCCTATTCCTACACGAAACAGGATCCAATAATCCATCAGGAATCAACTCAGACTCTGACAAAATCCCCTTCCACCCATACTTTACTATCAAGGACTCCCTAGGAGTACTACTCCTACTCACCCCTCTCCTAACACTAACACTATTCTCACCAGACCTACTAGGAGACCCAGACAACTACACACCAGCCAACCCCCTAAGCACCCCTCCACACATCAAACCAGAGTGATACTTTCTATTCGCATACGCAATCCTACGATCCATCCCCAACAAGCTAGGCGGAGTTGTAGCCCTAGTACTGTCAATCCTAATCCTAATGGCCTTCCCACTACTCCACACATCAAAACAACGAAGCCTAATATTCCGTCCAATCAGCCAGTGCCTGTTCTGAGCACTAGCCGCAGATCTCCTAACCCTAACATGAATCGGCGGACAACCCGTCGAACCCCCATTCATCATTATCGGCCAAACAGCATCAATCCTATACTTCTTCATCATCCTCATCCTCATACCTACCGCCAGCCTAATTGAAAACAAAATACTTAAATGAAGAGTCCTCATAGTATAAACTATTACTTTGGTCTTGTAAACCAACAATGGGAAAAAACACCCCTTAGGACATCAAGGAGGAGACAAAGTCCCACCACCAGCACCCAAAGCTGACATTCTCATAATTAAACTACCCCCTGCACCACACAAGAACAACCTATGTATATCGTGCATTAAGTTATCTTCCACATTAATAATGCCTGAGTACTTTAAATGCTAATCGTACATAGTACATAACTGCATAACCGTACATACAAATTCTTTTAAGACAAGCATACAAGCAAGTACAATAATAACAACCGGACTATAGTACATACAACAATAACCAACAGGACATTAACAACAACATGACTATTCAAAACCAAGCAGTTCCTACAAGCGGACATAAAACATTAATCTATTAATCGTGCATTAGCGCATAAAGTCATAAACAATCCACCTCAAAATGGATATCCCTCACCACTGGATAGTCTCTTAATCTACCATCCTCCGTGAAACCAGCAACCCGCTCGGGAAGTACCCCTCTTCTCGCTCCGGGCCCATACAACTTGGGGGTTTCTATTCTGAAACTATACCTGGCATCTGGTTCTTACTTCAGGGCCATGATAACTAAGATCGCCCACACGTTCCCCTTAAATAAGACATCTCGATGGATTCATGACTAGACTGGCCCATGATCAACATAACTGTTCTGTCATACATTTGGTATTTTTTAATTTTTAGGATGCTGTGACTCAGCATAGCCGTCAAGGCATGGTCTCAGTCAATTCAATTGTAGCTGGACTTTTAAATCAATATTCTTTACCCGCATAATAAAAATCAAGGTATGCTAGAACTTCATGCTTGATGGACATAAAGAAAAAACAACACACACGTATACACGTATACACGTATACACGTATACACGTATACACGTATACACGTATACACGTATACACGTATACACGTATACACGTATACACGTATACACGTATACACGTATACACGTATACACGTATACACGTATACACGTATACACGTATACACGTATACACGTATACACGTATACACGTATACACGTATACACGTATACACGTATACACGTATACACGTATACACGTATACACGTATACACGTATACACGTATACACGTATACACGTATACACGTATACACGTATATATGGGCAAACCCCCCCCCTACCCCCCCCCGCATGACTAACTCTTGCCAAACCCCAAAAACAAGAAACATGCTCTACCAACAAACTTCACATAACTACCTACCCCTAAACCTCATGTTTTAATCCTTTATTTTATACGTTCAATTTATTAATGTGCCATCTCAGTATCTCGTAAATTAAATCACAACCCATGCTTCCCGCCCCCCTTCCACATACTAATAAGACACCCAAAACAACCGACCATATAAAAGAAACTGACTCAAACACAAAAGTTAATGTAGCTTATATACCAAAGCAAGGCACTGAAAATGCCTAGATGGATTACATAATCCCATAAACAAGTAAAGGTTTGGTCCTAGCCTTTTTATTGGTTTTCAGTGAAATTATACATGCAAATATCCGTGCCCCAGTGAGTACGCCCTCTAAGTCTAACAGACCAAAAGGAGCAAGCATCAAGCACACAAAACTTGTAGCTAATGACGCTTTGCCTTGCCACACCCCCACGGGATACAGCAGTAATAAAAATTAAGCAATAAACGAAAGTTTGACTTAGTTACACTGACTACAGGGTTGGTAAATATCGTGCCAGCCACCGCGGTCATACGATAGACCCAAACTAATAAACCCCGGCGTAAAGCGTGTTTAAGAATATCCACCCTCAATAAGGATAAACTTGACCTAAGCTGTAAAAAGCTATAGTTGAAGAAAAAATAACCCACGAAAGTGATCTTAAAATAAATCTGATAACACGACAGCTAAGACCCAAACTGGGATTAGATACCCCACTATGCTTAGCCGTAAACTTAGATATGTAAACCTAACAAACATATTCGCCAGAGAACTACTAGCAATTGCTTAAAACTCAAAGGACTTGGCGGTGCTTTATATCCATCTAGAGGAGCCTGTTCTATAATCGATAAACCCCGATTCACCTCACCATCTCTTGCTAAGTCAGCCTATATACCGCCATCTTCAGCAAACCCTAATTAAGGCACTCTAAGTAAGCCAAAACATACAACATAAAAACGTTAGGTCAAGGTGTAGCCAATGAGGTGGGAAGAAATGGGCTACATTTTCTTGCCCTAAGAAAACTAACGGAAACTCTTATGAAACTGAAGAGGATAAGGAGGATTTAGCAGTAAATTGAACTTAGAAAGCTCAATTGAACTGAGCAATGAAGCACGCACACACCGCCCGTCACCCTCCTCAATATTTTTAATACTAAGCCTACATAAGCTGCCACCACAAAAATTAAGAGGAGATAAGTCGTAACAAGGTAAGCATACTGGAAAGTGTGCTTGGAACATCAAAATGTAGCTTAGCCACAAAGCATCTGGCCTACACCCAGAAGACTTCACACAATGAACATTTTGAGCCAATTCTAGCCCAAAAACCAACAACCACAACTACATAAAACCAACAAATAAAACATTCACCAAATTGTAAAGTATAGGTGATAGAAATACATACCACGGAGCCATAGAGCCAGTACCGCAAGGGAAAGATGAAAGATTAACTCAAAGCACTAAAAAGCAAAGATTACACCTTGTACCTTTCGCATAATGATTTAACTAGAAAAAGCTTAACACAGAGAACTTCGCTAAGCACCCCGA